AGCCTGTTCTAGTACACCCCCAAAACAAAATCAAGACTTTGTAAAAGAGCATAATAGGACCCCTTTAAATATTTTAAAATATAATTTAATTTGATTTTACACACTATAAGCAATATCGTATCGCATATCGAATTTTTTAACAAGGTATCGCATATCGCATTTTTCTTCAATATCGCACAGCCCTAATTATTATTATTGATATATATATATATATTTTTTTTTTTTAATAGTCATGAACAATGCAATGAAAAAGCTTTACAAATAAATAAATACAGTTTTATCAACATCCGCTCAGCCTCAGCCTGATAATAGTTCAGTAAGTCAGATGTTAAACTAACCTGTTCCACTCCAGGGTAGTGTGGGGATGCCAGCTGTCTGGGCCACAATAGAAGAGGCGATCTTATCCCCAAGAGCCCACATAGCCTGACTAGGTGGACCTAATGAAAGATACAAACCACTAAATTAAGAGCAGTACCATCACACTATGTGAATAATTTAATCAATGTGATATTGTAAGGTTTATTATAATAGCTGAGACTCACCCATGAAGGCTATGCCGTTCTTGTGCAGCAATTCAGGGAGTTTGGGATTCTCAGAGGCATGACCCCAACCGGCCCATACAGCCTAAAGACAGGTACATTACATTTATGCATTTAGTAGACGGCTTTATCCAAAGTGACTTAAAGTCAAAGAGCCAGCAATATTCGTAATATACAATTCCAGGTTCATTAGACAACTAGATTAGAAAGCAAGATAGAGAAGAGGAGAAATGCAGAGAAGAAAAAAAGTGAAAGTAAAAAAACAGATTTTTAAGTTAATATCTCAAGAATGTTTTTTATTAAAGGGGTCCTATTATGCTCTTTTAAAAAGTCTTGATTTTGTTTTGGGGGTTTACTAGAACAGGCTCTCATACTAGGTTGTTCGAAAAACACATTATTTTTCACATATTTTACATTATTGCAACACCTCTTTCCCCAGTCCGGCATGAACGGCTCGAATAGTTCCTGAATCAAATGAAGGCCAGCCTTCTGAAATACGAAATGTGCTGTGATTGGTTAGCTTGAAAAAGTGAAAAAGCATAATAGGACCCCTTTAAGCATTCTATTTTATTTTATTTTTTATTGTTTTCTAATTATATTTCGTCATATTTTACAATATATTGCATATAAATGGGATATGATAAGGATTTATCATAACAAAAAACATCCTATAATGCTGCTGCTGAAACATCCATGCAAAAAGAATGTATTTATATATGAACATTCCTTTCTGTTTTTATATTATTTTTTTAACTCACATTACTGTTGTAATAATACAACTGTGCTTAAAACAACAAAAAAAATAATACTTAAATATAATAATACTTTTATTTCACAATAGGTTATTTTATTAATGTCTTAAATTTCACACAATAATTGTGCAGCCTGATTTAAGTCTTTTAAGTGTTACCAAAATCATTTTATTTGCTCTGAACACCAGTCATCAAAGCTCACATGCATTTACCTGAACGGGAATTCGCTTAGCTATGTCCAAAATGAGTTCTACATTAGCATAGTTGTTGTTGTTTGTCCCTCCTGGGACAGGTACATAGTGATCTGCCATCTTGATATACTCTGCAGACAGAATTATACATATGTTTAAGTATTTCATCAAGTACATTTGAGGTTACAGGCCTATTCATAAATAATTTTCACCTCACTGAATCCTTTCTATGCAAATTAGGCCAGGTCTGCACCGACAAAGCATACTGACATAAATGAAGAGAAGGACCAAGACATTCCTTGCTAAATACATTTGCCAGTCCACAGTCCAGCATGGCTTTTCCTGGATTACACCATGATACAGCCAGCAGTGGGGGAAGGTTTTCTCAAGCTATTTTTTAAGTCTGATGACATAACAGTTAAGCTCAGCATTTTAAACACACCTGCATTGGCTTTGAGGTCCTCCGGGGTAACCATGACTACAAAACGTATGGCCCGTTCATTCCGAAACATTTCATAAGCCCAGCGACGGATGGAGCGCATGCACTTAACTGCAGCGATGCCATTGTTAGCAATGAGAACCTGTCACAACAAAATATGATATTCACAGCTGTCACCACACCAGGGTTGTTTATAGTTAACAAAAACCATAAAAACATTCAGTTACTTAAAAAAGTTAATTGAAATTAAAAAAAATAATAATAATTTAAAATATATATATTTTGTTAACTAGTTGCCAAGGAAACATTACTCAATTTAATTTAGTTTAACTTGTAATAAAACAACTAAAACTGAAATAAAAGTTGAAAATGTATAGACCTATTTAAAATATGAAGAATAAAAATTACAAAAATAACAACATTGTAAGTTTAAATTTAAAAACATTTTAATTAAAATTGTAAAATATAACATTTAAATTAAATTAAAAAAAAAAAACCTACAACACTATCTCAATGACACTAAAATATAACACTGCACCACGCATATAGCAGAATAGCAAATTGCAGTCAAGGATCTCACCTTCTCAATGACTTTGTTGCCACCAAATCGGGTGACGAATTCAGCGGGGGAAGCGACAGTAAAGTCCCTCTGCAAGTCGATGCGTCTGCGGTTCCTGCCCTGCTTCACAAGGTGAAGTCCTGACATGCTAGGCCTTGAGAAATGCACACAATACCAACATAATTCACAATGCAGCCTGAGAAACACTGAATACAAACAGATGAACACTATAGCAATACACACGCTAGCAACTGACAGCATGGCTGATCGTTTTGGATTGTATTTTTTTTAAATTTTGAGAAAAATGAGAGAACAAATCAGCAAAAAAAAAAATAAATAAATAAAAAAAAAAATAGGGAACAAATGAATTCCTGGGAATATCTGTCTATTTGTTCCTCTGCATGTCATGTGTGGGGCTCCATACAAAAATGTTAACTTGCTAGAAAAATGGCAAAATTCCAAAAACATAAAAATGAAGAACAATGCACATTTCTGTTATCAAATAAGTACATACGTCTTTTGTTTGTTTGTTTATGTTTTTTTGCAACGCAATAAAAAATACAAAAGTCTATATTTACACAGTATATATACTGTATGCTGCCAAAAACAGTAATCGATCAGGAGTTTTCGATTTAAAAAAGTGTGCATCGGATACAAGTTGGCATTTGTATCACGATGCATTGTTTCTAACATATTTGCATCGGTAAAAAACTATTTATTATATATTTACTAGTAGATACGCTATACTTTTATTGTTTAGAAAGTGACCAATAATCTGTGACAATATTTTATATGTAGATTAACTTCTCCTCTCTAAACTGTTTCTCAAGCACGTTCTCTCATCACTGCTGCGTGAATATGACGTATCAACACGGAGACCTGAGGAAAAGCAGTTATTAAAGTCCTTAATATAGATCATGGATCAAATCAATCCACCATGGCAAACAGCGAATATATTTGTGCTGTTTAATGCATTTGAGACGTTGAGACTGACGTTTTCCTCAGTGCATAACTGACATGTCACAGGTATATTCTTCATCTGTAAATGTTAGAAAGTCATGCAAACATATCAGTTTTGCTGTCAGGAGTGGGCAAGTGAACGAGCGCTCAGATGGAGCGCAATAGAATAATAGCGCAATAATTCTGAGTAAAATATGCATTTTGTTAAGATATTTGTTGTTGGACATTAAAATGTGCCTTTTGTAGAATTTTAACCCTACATACAGTACAGAGATATGAATTTTTGCCCATATCGCCCATCCCTACTACATATGAGTGTATTTTTTATGATAGCAGTAACTGTAAAGGGACTATTGTAATGGGTAAATAACATGTAAGCTAATACAGTCCTAATTACTAAGCTCAAATGAGTTAATGTGTGTTTCTTAAAGCAGTTAAAATGTAGTCTTTTTTCATTTATTTTGATTTTTAATTTAGTGATTTTAATGCTTTAAAGAGCAATTTTACATTGTAATATTCTAATGTTCTGCTATCTGTTCTGCTATCTATAAAAGGTACAGCTGTCATAAAACCAGAGAGAAAGGCTGTTATAAGAGTATGTGAGAGAGTCAGCGGTAATATCATTGCGTTCCTATTGGTCAGTGTTAGAGGAGCTCAGCTTAGCCTGACAGTTAGCCTGCCCCAGACCAGGTTAGTTTCCTAGCATAAGCTGCTACAATGACTGAGGTTGATATATGTTAAATTTGCTTTATGGAACCAGACTAACTGAAATAAGCCTGGCTTATTTGGTAAACTTGTTTTATGAAACAGGCATTGAGGCATTAGAAGTCAGAAGACACTTAAGTTAATTTATGATTTGCTGTCTGTCTGAACCAAAGAAATAAAAGCGATCATATTTTTTTTTACATTGCATCGAATCTCATTGTGTTGAATCGAATCTAATTGAAATCGCACTGCATCGCAATAGTGGTGAATCGTATCGTATCGCATCAGTAGCTGCTTCATATCTATCTTTAATGTATCGTATTGTTGGCTATGCATCAAGATGCGTATCGCATCCTCAGTTATGAGATGCACATCCCTATAAAACATACTAAACATAGACATTTTAAAAAACTAATAAGAATGCCAAAAATACACAACAAAATTATTTAAACTTTGAATGAAAAAATAAAAGAGCCTCCTGTCTAACTTCAATCTTTCCTTGAAGCATCACTACTTTGACAACCATTATGGCATGTCTGTGTGAGACCCCAGTGGGCATAGAGATGGAAAACACTGCCAAAGACTGGCAGTGCAACCGAAGTTACCCAAACACACAGAGAGGCGCTTGTGCACATTTTCACACACAGCATAGTGATGAACCCAGATGAACCTTGAAGAACCCAGTATCCTCAAGTCACTACTTTTTACACAACGCTGCTGCATACCTCCCTCATTCACACATGGGCTAAGTAATGTAATCATTTATTTAGACAACCAGCACTAATCTTATCTTGAAACTAGTCTTTTTCAAAGGCCACGTCCCTGATCTCGAGCACCAGGCACAATAAGCGTGATACATACAGACATGGTGAAAGTGGACATCCATGTCACAATAACTGCAAATGAGTGCACAAGCATCTCTGACCTCATATTGTGCAAGGGTCCGTCCAGGCTGTCGAAGCCCATCTCATAAGTGCTGTCTGAACTGACCGAAGAGGGGGAAAGGGAGCGCGGATTCTCCTCCATCTGCAGGTCCAGCTTCCCTGCGGTTTCATCCTCAGAGTTTTCCTCAGACACAGAACCCACGATGAAGTGAGAGTGCAGCGCAGTCACTGCAGGAAGCTTCTTCCCGGTGGAGTCCTGCTCTGCCATACTTAGGCCACGCTGGCAGGCTGCAAGCACTGTACAAGGAGAGAGAAGATGCATTAGTTCATCAGGTCATCAAGTCAAAAGTTACTATGACAAAAAGATGTCTTAATTAAATATTTGACTTAAACACATTGTTACTAATAAAAAAAAATGTCAGTTTAAGTAATTTTAGAAGTTTAACTTCAAATTATTTCAGTTAGTTCCCAATGTAAAATTCTGATTTCTAAGTTTTTCATCTAATGTTTTTATTTTGCCTTTATTTCATTTAAAGATTTATTTTAATTGTTTTACCATGATATTTACATATGTTGCTAAACATCTATTTATATAGTTATGTTCTATGGGCATGGTACCATAGCAATATTATGTTTCTGGACATGTAAAATAGCCTTTAAAATACCACGGAAGTAAATATCGTTACAGAGTACCATGACACACATGGAAAGACCATGGCACTATCATTGGTTCCCATCAATGTATCACAAGTTCTGTAACAGTAGCGCTATTGTATCTTACCCATATCGTACGTTTGACTCCATGTGAACCTGTCTGATTACTGTACCTCGATTTAGCAACTCACCTGCAGACTGACACTTGTAAAATTACAACCGCACCTCATCCAGCCTGATGAACCTGATCAACGAGTCTCACCATCGCGGACCCTCAACCATATGTGAGAAACTCCTTTTCAATAATCTAACACTTACACTTAGATCTCATTTCTGCTATCAGTTCATAACCGTCCGGCTCCCTTCAATCAGCATGATAGTCATCCTTTTTTCACCTTTCAAACTTGTAAACTGCCTGTCTCCACCTTGAACGAGAAACAGTGGCATCGGTTCGACCTAGCACACATGCTAACTCGTCACAAACCCTCCTCGTCGCTGTCGCAGTCGCTGTTGATGTTTTAGAAATCCGTCCAATATTTACAGTGTCATGTGCAGCCTTACAGTTAGCAGGCACTCGGTCCCGGTAATAAGCTTTTGTACTCACCGTGCGAAAAGAGTCTGTAAGCAATTCTGAGGCGTGTAAACCGACGTTTTAATATCGACTGTATTCCCTCCTAATTGAAGCCCATCTCCGCTCCGGTGATGGCTAATAGGCTATATAGGAGCATAATGGTACAGGCTGGAGTCCCTGCCTCTTTGACAGCAGCATCACGGTGGTGTGATGCAAGGGGGGTTACTTCTGGACGTCGTCCTTTGACCTGACCGATGCAACCGCTCACGCTGTATCAACGGACCAATCGTATTGCGCGTCTCGGTCGGGGCGGGGTCACGCATGCAAATAAATAAGAAGGTGTGCCCAATGATTTGACGCTTCGTTAGACACACGTGTTTTCTGTCATAGAAGGGTTACCATTGTTAAATCTATGATTTTGGCTTTACAATGCTGCGTCTTGCTTGCAAGACTTTTCTGGCCCAACAGACACATTCTACACACATACACAAAAAAATGTAAAGTCTAAACTATACTTAGGCCTGATGTAGTTTTTTTTTTAAATGTTGAAAGCTTTGTGTTTACTAGGAAGGTTTTCTAAAGTGGCAGTTTGTAGATGGGATAGGTATAGACAGATGAGCTCCATAGTTAAGTATTCCTTGGATAGAGCAGAGTGTGGCTAGTAGGGGGGAAAGGCGCACTGAGTACAGGGGGTTCAGGGGCCATTGCACCAGCTGTGAGTTACAAGAAGTTAGTCTTTTTTTTTTTTTTTTTTAAGGATTTTAAAGCAGTACATGAGCCAAAACATACTTAGACTATACTATCAATACAAAACATGTAAAACATAAAGTAGGAAGTACATGTAGTTATGTGAAGTGTTTGTGTAACAATTGTGTTGCGTATGTGTATATCTCTTATTATGCGTTTCCTAATATATATGTAGAATGGCCCATTTGTAGAAGGTCAGAATAGAATGTTTATAGAGAAAAAAAAGGGAGAGAGAGAGAAATAATTAAATAGGTACATAAACTGCAAAATAACAACAATAACAAATAAAGAAATAAATAGAAATTAAATAAGAAATTAATTAAGAAAAAACAGGTGATACGGGGGCTTCGAATAAAATGACAAATTAGGCACTACTAAATATTTTTGCATTAAACTTTAAAAAAATGTAGCTACGTATAAACTAAATAATTATGGAAGCCTCTGAAAAGGAGTAACGATTGGAATAAAATGGCATATTGAATGAATTAATCAATAAACTCTTGTTTTACCAAGAGAATTCTTTAGACATATATGATAATGTTGAGAATCATGTTTACATTTTTAGGAGAGAACAATGTGAACAAATTACTTTATCAGCAACTCTTCAACACAAACCTAACCTAAAAAGCCCACCTCTGTGTGCATTGGTTCATGTTGTGCATGTCAAATAAAATCAGTCATAATAAATAAATGTCATTTATGTTTTTTTTCCCATTATTTATTTATTCATCCATCCTTATTCATGTCAAATAGTTTCTGAAAGTTATATATTATAAATGCCTATTATGTTATTAATGATTAAGTAGTGTTGCATTTCAGTGGAAACATATTTTTACTGTTACGTCAAGCAAAAGATGTTCAATCACAGGTAAACATCATATTGCACGACTATGCATTACTTTACAGAGAGCTTACTAGCTACATTCTGCCTTAAGAACAAATGGTGCAACTGAATAAAGCAGCTAGCAGTTACTATGCCTTTAGTGTGGACTGTACAGTGGAGATCAAAATTAGAGAACAATCTATAAATACTTGATTTTTTTTCTGAAATATTGTTAATCTTCATCGCTCAAAATTTGAAGGAATATAAGCTGTGGGTATACCACTGTTATACTAACATGTTTGAAAAAAATATCCAAGGCATTTAAAAAAAAAAACTTTTATTTTGTGGAAAACACAGTGATCAAAATTAGAGAACAGTAACCACTGTAGCACGAAAGAAGATTACAACTAACATTTTAGAGGGTTACAACTGTCAGAAATTAATAGTGTAGAGGCCACTTTGTCGCCAAGGATTTTCCAGTGATTTTCAACCGAGTTTAGATGAGGACTCTGGCCCAGCCATTTAATTTTTCATCATTATTTGCATGAAAATTGCAGACTGGTTGGGAGATATACATTTGCATTCACTCTGCCATGTAGCTATAAGAGGGCACTCAGGGTTCAGTCTTTCCTCAGTCTGACACCGAACAAAATGTTTCCCATCATACCCAAATAAATTAAACTTGCTCTCATCACTAAAGTGAACTTTGGTCCAGTTCTCCTCTGTCGACACAACATGCTCCTCAGCAAAGGTGAGCTTAGCCTTTTGATTCTTTCTGCTGATGAGAGGCCTCATCACAGCAGAGTGCACTTTCAACCCGACTTATCTTAAATGTGCCGAGACAGATCCATACCCTGTTCTTTGCTGAACTGGCAAGCAATTCCAGCTGCAGTGTTGAACCGATTCCCCATTGAGAGTCTCTGGATACTCCTGTTGTGGACGACCAGCCCTTTTGAGGACTTGAATAAATCAGTGTCATTGTAAAGCTGCAATTTTCTAGAAATCACAGATTTGGAATGACAAACTTCTCTTGCAGTGGCTTAAAGGGTCATCCCTCAACCTCCTTTTGCAGGGTTTCAGTCACCTCAGAGCAGCCCGCTATCATGCAATCTCAGTGAAAATTGGAGGAATGCTGCCAGTTAAATATGGTTTGTCAGATAATTAAAGGGATAGTTCACCCAAAAATGAAAATCTGTCATTAATTACTCACCCTCATGTCGTTCCAACCGCCGTTCATCTTTGAAACACAAATTAAGATATTTTTGATGAATTCTGAGAGCTCTCTGACCCTCCCATAGACAGCAAGGATACTACCACGATCAACACACAGAAACGTAGCAAGAATTGGTAAAATAATCCATGTGACATCAGTGGTTCAACAATAATTTTGCGAAGCTACAAGAATACTTCTCTTTGGAGAGTATCCACTGAACGTAAACAACATATGCTGTTCTGTGTCAGCTGCGCCACACGGATACGTTGTCTACATTGTTTACACTTTGATCTGAACGAAAACAACGTATCCGTGTGGTGCGGCTGACACAGAACATCATATGTTGTTTACATTCAGTGGATACTCTCCAAAATGGCGCCAGGGTGACACGGAGGAGACGAATTGTTGAATAAAGTCGTTATTTTTGTTTTCTTTGTGTACGAAAAGTAATCTCTTCGTAAAATTATGATTATTTTAACGATGTCCTTGCTATGTTTCTGTACGTTGATCTTGGTAGTATCCTTGCAGTCTATAGGAGGGTCAGAGAGCTCTCAGAATTCATCAAAAATATCTTAATTTGTGTTCTGAAGA